GCTATTGTAAATTGTGCTGCTATAAAAATGGTTATGCATATATCACTGTTGTATGACTTTAATTCTTCAGAGTAAATACCAATTGGTATATGTGGGTCTAATGGTGGTTCCATACCTAGTCTTTTGAGGAGACTCCATATTGATTTCCATAGTAGTTGTACTAATTTAGTCCAACCAATAGTGTAAACGTGTTCTTTTCTCCACACCCACTCTAGCATTTATTTCTATTCTTGATGATTGCCATCCTGACTGGTATAAGATGAAATCTCAAGTGTAGATTTGCATTTCCCTAATTGCTAATGATGCTGAACATTTTTTGATGTATTTATTAGCCACTTGTATTTCTTCTTTGAGAAGTGTCTGTTTAATTCTTTTTCCCCTTTATTAACTGGGTATTTTTGGTGAAGTGTTTTTTAGCTCTTTATATTTTCTAGATATTAATCCTCTGCAAGAGTTGCTAACAAGGATTTTTCCCATTCTCTGGGTTCACTCTTCACATTGTTAATTGTTTCCTTTGTGGCACAGAAGCTTTTTAACTTAATGCCATCCCATTTATTAATTCTTGACCTATTGCCTGAGCTTTAGGAATCTTACTGAGAATGTTGTTGCCTGTGCCTAAAATCTGGAGTGTTGACCCTACATTTTCTTCTGCAAGTTGCAATTTCTGGTCTAATTCATAGGTATTTGACCCATTTTGAGTTGACTTTTGTGCAGGGTAAGAGATAAGGGTCTAGTTTCTTTTTTTTTTCCTTTAATTTTTGTTGTTGGTTGTTCAAAACATTACATAGTTCTTGACATATCATATTTCACACTTTGATTCAAGTGGTTTATGAACTCCCATTTTTACCCGGTATACAGATCACATCAGTTACACATCCACTGTTTTACATATTGCTATACTAGTGTCTGTTGTATTCTGCTGCCTTTCCTATCCTCTACTATCCCCCATCCCCTCCCCTCCCATCTTCTCTCTCTACCCCATCTACTGTAATTCATTTCTCCCCCTTGTTTTTTTCTTCCCCCAAGGGTCTAGTTTCATTCTTCCACATGTGATAACCAGTTGTCCCAGAACCATTTGTTAAAAAGCCTGTCTATCCTTGCATCTCCTAAGTATTTTTTTGGCAACTTTTTCAAGGATTAGATGATTTTATCTGTGTGGATTTGTCTCTTGTGTCTTCTACTCTGTGCCATTGGTCTATGCGTCTGTTTTTATGCCAATATCATGAAGTTTTTGTTACCATAGCTCTGTAGTATAATTTGAAGTAAGGTATTGTGATGCCTCCAACATTGCTTTTTTGGCTTAATATTGCTTTGGCTATTCTGGGTCTTTTATTCTTCCTAATGAATTTTAGGACTGTCTTTTCCTGGTTTTGTGAAGAATATCATTGTTATTTTGATAAGGATTGCATTGTACGTTGCCTGTGGTAGTATGGGCATTTTAATATTCATTCTGCTTATCCAGGAACATGGAGGTCTTTCCATCTTCAAAGCTCTTCAATTTCTTTTAATGTTCTGTAACTTTCATTGTAGAACTCTTTCACCTCTTCAGTTAGATATATTCCTAGGTATTTTATTTTTGTTTGGGCTATTGTAAAACTGTTTTCCTGATTTCTAAGAAGATTCATTGTTGTTATATATTGTTTTATAACCTGCTACTTTGCCAAATTTGTTTATTACCTCTAGGTCTTTTGGTGGAGTTTTTTGTTGTTGTTTTTAATCTTCTAGGTATAGAATCAAATCATCCACAGTGATAATTTCCTTTCATAGTTTTATCCTTTTCATTTGCTTCTCTTGCCTAATGGCTAGAATTTCTAAACTGCATTAAATAGGAGTGGTGAGAGTAGACATATCTTTGTCCTGTAGAGTCTAAAGTAAATGCTTTCAATTTTTCTCCATTTACTATGAGGTTGGCTTTGAATTTTTAACATATAGTTTTATGATGTTGAGGTAGGTCCTTCTATTACTAGTTTCTTCAGTGTTTTTGTTATGAATGGGTGCTGATTTTTTCGGACTTCTCTGCATCTATTGAGATTACTAAGTGATTTTTGACCTTAATTATTTTAATGTGATGAATTATTTATTGATTTATATATATGAAACTATCCTTGCATCTCTGAAATAAACCCAACTTGGTCATGGTGTACAATCTCCTTGAAATGTTGTTGGACTCAATTTGCTAAATTTTATTAAGTATTTTTGCATCTAATTTCATTAGGGATATTGGTCTATAGTTTTCTTTCCTTGATGTATCATTATCTGGTTTTGGTGTGTGATACTGGTTTCATAAAATGAGTTTGGAAGGTTACGTCCTTATTTCATGGAATTATTTCAGGATTATTGACATTAGTTCTTCTGCAAAGGTTTGGTAGAATTTGACTGAGAACCCATCTGGTCCTGGAACATGGAGGTCTTTCCATCTTCAAAGCTCTTCAATGTCTTTTAATGTTCTGTAACTTTCATTAAAGTCTTTTTATTACTGCTTGTATTTCAATACAAGTTATTGACCTGTTTAGGTTTCTGATTCAGCTTTGGCATGTATTCATCTAGAAATGTATCCATTTCTTGTAGGTTTCCCAGTTTTCAAAATAGTCCTAATGATATGCTGGATTTCTAACATCTGTGATGAGTTCTCCTTTTTATCTCTGATTTTCATTAATCTTACTTTTCTCCCTTTTTTAGTTTGGCTAAGGATTTATCAATCTATTTAAAAAGAACTCTACTTCATCCATCCTTTGGATTGTTTTTTTTATTCTCAAGTTCATGGATTTTCAGCTGTGATCTTAAGTCTTTCCTTCCTTTTACGGGTTTTTGGAACTGGTTTGTTCTTCCTTTCAAAGGGCCTTGAAATGCATCATTAGGTCATTTATTTGGGACCTTTCTAATTCTCTTCAGCTATAAACTTTCCTTTCAGATCTACCTTCGAAATGTCCCAGATGTTCTCGTATGTTGCATCACTATTCTTATTTAAGAATTTTTAAATTTCTCAATTTCTTCTATCACCCATTCCTCCTTCAGAATATTGTTCAATCCCCATGCTGTTTATATAGCTTTCACAGGGTTTGGTTGTACTGACTTTTAATTTCATTCCATCATGATCTGATAAGATGCAAGGAATTATATCAAATTTTTTTGGTTAGGTAAGAGTTGCTGTATGGCCTAAAATACGGTCTATCTTGGAAAAGGTTCCATGAGATTCTGAGAAGTATATTGTTATTGTATGAAATACTCTATAGATGCCTGTTAGGTCCATTTGATTTATATTCTTAACATCCACAGTCTTTACTGAGTTTTTGTCCAATTGAGCTATCTAATGGTCAGAGAAATCACCCAGTATTATTGTACTAGCGGTTATCTGGGGCTCCAATTTGAGTAGTGCCTTTTATGTAATCAGTTACGCTCATACTTGGGGCATAAACATTTATTATTGTTATATCTTCTTGTTGGATTGCTCCCTTTACCAATGCAAAGTGACCTTTTTTCCTTTTTCTGATATAATTTTTGTCATATGGGAGTAGCTACTTCTGCTTGTTTTCAGACTCCATTCACATGATCAATTTCCATCCTTTCACTTTCAGGTTGTGGCTGTCTTTGATATGTCTCTTACAGACATATAGTTGGGACTTGTTTTTTAATCCACTCTGCCCACTAACATCTGTTAATTGGAGAGTTGAGACAAGATACCTTCAATGTTGAGATGTTTATTAACTTCTGTCATTTTATTGTTTAGATGAATCAGAAGATCACGAGAGGCAGACATAGCACTATACTCTAGAGATAGTGACAAAGCTGATTGTGTAAGTGAAATTTCAGCCTGTCTTCAGATGACCTACATTGCAGAATTTTCCCTTTCAAGTAGTGAATAATGTTTCTATGAAGGGAACATACTCTCACCCAGTTAGATTGTAACAGGAAGGATTACACCATGCAGTATTTTGCCATAATAAACTGGACCACCTTGCTTTGCTAAAAGGATGTCACAGTACTATCTTTAATGTTTATGCATCAAAATTTATTTGCTTTTGGTTTTCAACTTAAGAAGGATCCACTGGATGCAAAGATGATAAATGTTGATAAAGTTTTCCTGTTTACTAAGAGTTAAAGCACTGTATTATTTCAGGGAGGTAGACCTTGCTTCAGAGACAGGACACTGTCCAATACCATACAAGTATACAATATCAAAACCAAATTTTAAAAATACAAAAAAGAAAATTTTATTAATCCTTTTAAAAACTTGACAAAATTCAGTCTTCCATATTTTACCCTGGCCTGGCTCACCTCACCTTATCTCTACCATAGTTTCATGACTACTCAGGCTTTCTTCATTCTGCTTTAGGTTGGTTAACATTCAACATGTGATTGTGGTCCTCTTTGGAGATTTTGTTGTTGTTGTTCACAAATAAATGCAACATGCTCTATGTCTGAGACCAAAACCCAACTACCTTCCACCCTATGAGATCTACTTAATCTCACTTAGCCTATTGGCTACCATTTTAGAAATGAGGCAATAACTCACTACATGGACATACTCCCTGTATCTTTCATTGTTAGACTGTGCATTTAAACAGTGTGTCCTCTCCTTTGTTCTAATAATAACATTTCCACTAAATTTACTAATGGTCCAATTACAAATCTACTGACAAGAAAACATATGTTCTAATACTACTGAACTTTAAATATAATTACTTGTGGAATCATCACAGAAAAAAAATCACTAAAACTATAAAACCATAAAACATAATAGCCAATAATCATAAAATATACTTAGGGCTTATTATTTGGCAAATAATATTCTAAATGCCCCAAATACATTAAAATAATTTGCTTCTCATTTTTGTGGTAGTATTATTCATTTTACACATGAGCAAACTAAAGCACAGAGATGTTACTTACCCAAAGTTACACAGTGGCAGAGCCAATATTTAATTTCAGCTTAGTTGTAGAGCCTACACTTAATCTCTACATTAAATTGCTTTCTCCAGTTAAGAAAAAAAGATCATCACAAATAGATAAGCTATAATTTTATAACTTTCAACTTGCTTTCATCATAGTGAAAATAAAATAACACACAGCTTACAAAAATAAATTTTTATTAAAAGCAGTAGAGTCTGAGCAGGAAGACAGTACAAAGAATGTAAACAATGTAAACATCACTACATTCAGCTCAGCCTGATTGAAAGCTGAAAAACCAGTCTAAATGCTCTATGTGCTCTTGCTAGCAAGATACATTAATTCTATTTTACACAGACAACACAGTCTAATTTTGAGTAGGAAAAAATATTTTATCGAAGTCGATCCCAACGCCAAATACTGGCATCATCACAAACTGCTATAAGAATGCTGCTATCCCTGCTAAAACTGGTTTGTCGAATAGCAGCACCACATTTATGATGAGTCAGTGTTGTACATCTAGGGAAAAAACATGACAAGAGGTTAAATATTTTACATTATACTACCAATATCTACCTTTAAAATGAATAAGAAAATAAACAGATACCAAGTCTCTTTAAAAAGCATTTAAAACCAGACTATCTTCATTAAAAGTTCAATCTCAAATCTCATAAAATTTGGGTATATTTTAAACTCAAGAGGCACCATATAATTTGTACAAGTATCACCAAGGTGCTCATTATTAAAATAAAAAAATACTTGTAACTCTGAAATTTGTAAATGTTAAAATGTTATTTAAGGATGATATTGCAAATGTCAATATTTCTTCTATATTTGCATAAAACTTTGGGGGGAATAATATTTTTAATATTATAGAAATTTCTCAATACTTACTTGGCTTTATGAGGATCTTCTACTTCTAAATCCCAAACATAAAGTTTGCCAACCTGATTGCCCAATGCAAGCATCTGTGTAAACATTTTTAAAAACATCAAATTAATAAAATCACCATGCTCCAAGGCATTCAACAATCCTAAGACAACTTTCTTACTTCAGAAAAACCTCGGCTCCAGCCTCTGACTGCGCTCTTGACTATTTCTTTGGATCTTATATTCCTGATTTGTAAATAGGAATAAGAGCAATTAATATTTCACAGGTGTCCTGAATAAAATAAGAAGGCACTTCACAATTTTATGAAGGGCTTTACAGTTTACATTGTAATGTGGTACTATTTTTTCTGCCCTGCCTTAAAGAATTATAGCAACAGCTGTGGAAAGCTCTTCCAAAACATGTCTTTTTTTTTTTTTTTAAGAAATGAATACCCAGTTAATTTGTTACCACAGAATCCTAACAACAGATTTCTTTAACATTTTAGGTAACTAGTAACTATTATTTAACCTGTCTTCCATGCTGATTTTCCTAGGAAAAAGCTACAGAAGTAATTTAACACTCCAATCACTAAAATATTAAATGTTAGTAACAGTTATTATGGAATGTAACCCAAATTTAACTACTGATACCAAACTGCCAATTTTATTTATAACAGGTATTGCAAATGGTATACAGAGCCCACAATGGCAGAATATTTTAATCAATACAAAACATCAAGATAGATTCTTAGAGAAAAAAGAACATGGACATAACAGAAAAAGCTAGAATTACAATGGTGTTTTATAAGCCAAATAATTTCAAAATGTAAAAATATGCTGCTACCTTTTGCCAGAAATCCATAGAAAACCTCATGTACCAAATGTCACACTGGCTGTAATCAAATCGCCCAAGAATAGTCACATTAGACTCACTAGGTTTAATTTTATCTATATCATCTTCCATTTTGCCAGGTTTCCAGCATACAATGGCATTTTCACAAGACTAAAAGAGAAAAATGAGAAAAACAAGTATTAATTTTAGAACTGAATTTTAAAAATTTAAAACAAGACTATTATTTTAGAATGACAAGTCAAAGAATGTGGTTAATCCAGTGATACACATTCATTTGTATACAGTCAACGTCCACATTTGAGTATAAGAAATCTGATCAACAAAATTAGACAATACAAAAAAATTATGTTGTTTGGAATATTCATGTTGGAAGTCACAATTTCTCTTCATAATCAAACCACGTTCAGCTCTAGATACTTTGGTACCCAGAGATACTTTGAAATTACATTTCAAAGGTATATTTATAAAAACACTGTATTAGAATACATGGCTTTTCAATATCTGGTCCTTCTTTTTAATCACCAGTTTCCCTAATTTTCCAACTTATTTCTAATCCTTTATTGGATTCTTCAACCACAATGTCTGTACCACCTGACAGGTAACAGATATAAATAATGAACTCATTCAATGTGCCTTGAAGATCAGGTTTGAAGTAGGGCAAAAGGAGGCAATCAAAGCAGTAGTTTAACATCAAGACACCGACATGTGGATGGGCTCAAATGGTATGAAGTTATACTTCTCTTATCATGTAACACTGACTCTTTGTGCACACATTCCTACTTAGGCAGGAACTGGTAAAGAATACAATGAAAAGAAAATTTCAAAACTGTGGGTGCCTTTCATATTATTAATTGGTAGAAGCCAGACATGCTGTCAAAAATCTTCTGATGAATTGGATAGTTCCTCACCAAATTACATTATACAGCACAACCTCAATAACACCAGATTAAGAAACCTTGGTTTAAGTAAACAGTGCTCCCTGGATTTTGCTGTGCAGCTTACACTATCAAAGGTGGCAACCCTGCAGCAAGGGTCACTGGCATTTAAACAGTTTAACCACATGGTCATAAGAAGATCAGAATGGGACAACACTTTTTCTTTTTTTTTAATACCACGGATTGAACCTAGAGAGGCTTAACAACTGAGCCACATCCCCGGCCCTTTTTTATATTTTATTTAGGGACAGGGTGTCACTGAGTCGTGTAGGGCCTTGCTAAATTGCTGAGGCTGGCTTTGAACTAGCAATCCTCCAGAGCCACTGGGATTACAGGCATGCACCACCATACCTGGCAGGACAACACTTTTTTTTTATTCTTTTTCAAATTTTTTCAAACATAATGCTATATGGTATCTGTTACACAAGTTCTTAACTACAAAGTACCCTCAGAGATCACCTTAGCTTGATGACTCTTGAACAAGTGTACAACTAGATCAATAATAACTTGTGGAATTTTCTCAGGAACCTCATCATGACCCCAACCCCAATGAATCAGAATCTCTAAGGGGAAGGCAGAAGCATAAGAATTATAAAATTGTTCTTCATGTACTTCTTACTGTGCTGATAAAGAATATTTTCCCCCCTGTGGTGGGGGATCAATCCCAAGGCCTAAGGCATGCCAGCCAAGCACTCTACCATTGAGCTACATCCCCAGTCAAGAATTTTAATTATTAGAGTCCCGCCTCATGGAAAACTAAAGTAAGGGAAGATAAAAAGAATTTACCAGAGCTGATTCATTACCTTCAAAATCATCTAGGGAGCATTTTAGAATCACAGATTTCTAGGGTTCTTGTGCCAAATTTAGAATGTTTGGGGGATAAAGTATAGGAATCTATTTTTACCATGTTCTTCCAGTGATTTTTAACACAGCCAGATTTGAGATGACCATTAATATTTAGTCCAACCTCCCACCTAAATTCAGAAATCCTGTCCTTAAGTGTGATTACTATTCCCAGTATGGGGAAATGAACCCAGGAGTATGGGTTCATGAACCACTGAATTATATCACTGGTCCTTTTCATTTTTTTGAGACAGTGTCTTACTAAGTTGCTAAGGGACTCAAACTTGTGTTGTTCCTGCCTCAGTCTCCTGTGTTGCTGGGATTATAAGTGTGCACTACTGAACAACTGGCCAGATTAAGTTTAAAGGGTAGAAATTTAAAGCTACTGGCTGTTTATTGCTGCTACAAAAAAAAAAAAAAAGGAGTAGATTCACTATTCTCTATTAATTCCCCTGAATGTAACTTAAAAGACTAAATATCATATATAAAGCAAACAATCTTAAAGGTGAGAAAAGGCAGACAAGTTATGAACTCAGGAATGTGAACCATAAGAGTGTTGAGTTCTCTGGATTTTCTTTATATCCCAGACTGGATGCTAGAGAAGGCAACAAAGCAAGAATACTAACAAGTAAAGATAAGCCTCTCAAAACAGCACAGAAAAACCCATGACTCATCTTCACTTGAACCTACAAAATCCTGGTAAGGAACCATTCTTAAGTCATAACTAAGTACCTTGATTACATATCCACTGGTATCCCATACTCTTAGCATCAATAAGGTGACTTTCTGGCTGGCCTAGTATCAGAGAAGGCCTAACAGAGTCAGGACAGTCACAACCACTCAATGGTAAGGCCACAACTAACTATCCACACAGCAGTGGAGACTATTAGATCAACACTAATGAGGCATCCCAACCCCTCCAACTATGGTTGTATTAACTGAGGCCTAGTAGAAAGTCTGGTAACCACAAGGCTGTGCTCTCCTTCCCCAGCTGAAAAGTATCAAAGAAGCCTACCACAAGGGAAGCTTGAAAGAAGATTTAGAGTCTCATAATACCCCAAATATCCACAAATCAATAAAAAATTACTGGGATACTAAGAATCCGAAAAATCTCAACTTGAAAAAAGAAAAAAAGATACCAATACTGAAGCAATAGATGTCATAATTATCTGATAAGGATTTTAAGGCAGCAATCATATAAACGCTTCAATGAGTACAAATACATTGTATTATAATCAAAATTAAAACTTCAATGGATGGGCTGAATAGCAGAAGACAGAGGAGAGTTAAGAATTTTAAAAAGAGAATAACAGTAATTATCCAATCTGAGTATAAAAAAGAAAACAGAACTTAAAAAAAGAAGAAAAATCCGAGAAACCAAATTGAAGATCTCACATTTCATCAGACTCCAAACTAGGAAGAGTGCAGGGTTAAAAAATAGCTCAAATAATGGTTGAAAGGTTTCCAATCTGAGACAAAAATATGCCCCCAAAACATAAACCTAGGGCTGGGCTTGTGGCTCAGTAGTAGAGTGCTCCTGTAAGCATGTGTAAGTCTCTGGGTTCAATCCTCAGCACTACATAAAAATAAAAAAATAAATAAAATAAAGGTATCATGTCCATCTATGACTAAAATAATAATAATAATAAAAAATCTATCAAAGATTCAAGAAGGTAGTGAACGCTAACAAAATAAATCTCCACTCAAATTATACTCAAACCCCAAACTACAAATATATTCATGTTCAATCTAAAAACTAAAGACAAAGGAAAAATGGTGAAAGCAGAAACAAAAAGAATGCCTTATCTACAGGAGAAAAATTTCCAGAAGATTCCTCATCAAACCAAAGAGGGGAAAAACACTTTTTCAATAGTTAAAAAAAACAAAACCTAAAAAACTGTGAAGCCAGAAAACTATATTCAGTGACTACATCCTTCAAGAATGAAGAAGAAATAAAGCCATCCTTAGATGAAGGAAAACTAAGAGAATTTTGTCAACAGCAGACCTACCTATAAAAGAAGTTTCCTGAACAGAAGGAAATTATTTAAGGAGTCATCTTGGCATTATGAGTATGGAAGAACAGAAAAAGCAAGATGAGTAGTATGTAATACACTCTCCCTTTTCTTTTGGGTTTTCTAAATTATATTTGATGACTGAAGCAAGATTTTGATGTGGTTCTCAATATAAAGCAAATATTTAAGAGTTATAAATGAAGAATAAAGAATGAAAAGTCATACATTTCACTTGAATTGATAAAATACCAATACAACATGACATGTTACACATATATAGTAAAGCAACCACTGAAAAAAACTACAAAGAAATATACTCGAAGATATAATACATAAATAAAAATGGAATTCTAAAAAATATAATGTACAGGAAGTAAGAGTGAAAAAAACCCAGAGAGAGAAATGAAAATAAAAACATATAAACAAAAATAACCAATCTAGCAGACTAATATAATTACCTATGTTAAGGCTTAAATATAAATGGTCTAAATAAATCAAATAAAATAAACCACCAGAGAGGATTAATAACAAAATGACTCAATGATATGTAATCTATAAGAAACTTACACAACTATAACAAACAGATGTTAAAAAGTAAAATATTACATAACAATAAAAGGGTAAGGCCACCAGGATACAGCAATACCAAATATATATGTACCGAGTAACAGAACTGCAAAACGTGTAATAGAATTGTCAGGAGAAAGAAAAATCTACAATATAGTTGGATATTTAATCACTTGTCTCTTAGTAAGTGACAAAACAGTATACATAAAATCAATAAGAACTTAACACCATCAACCAATAGTATCTAATTTTCACTTATAGAACATTCCATTCAATATCAAAATACTTTTCAAACTCCCATGAAACATATCTAAAATAAATTCACAGAACTTCTTTAAAAAAAGAAGATACCAATAAAAATTAAAACATAAAGAGCAACAAAATAAAAAGTTCTTTGAAAAGATCAATACTGATAAAGCTCTAGAAAATGACAAAAAACAATACAAATTTCAAGAATAAAACAGGTTTTATCATTAGAGACCCAGTAGATAGTCCCAATTCATTTATATAAAGTCATTATTACTGATACCCAAACCATATTAAAATAACAAGGAAAAAAATTCAGGTAAGTTTAATACTTCATGAATCATCCACAAAAATACTTAGAAAATAGAATTTTATGACATATAAAAGAAATTATACAGCATGACCAAGTAGGGTTTATTCTAGAGAAACAAGGCTGGATCAATACTCAAAAAATAGTACAATCCACTAAATTAACAGGCTACAGAATAAAGAAAAAACATAATTTTAATCAACTTATGAAGAAAAAGCATTTGACAAAAATGAAACCCATTTGTGGAAAAACTCAAAAATTTAGGAAGAGAATACAATTCTCAACTTGACAGAGAATACCTAAAACAAAACAGAACAACAACAACAACAAAACCCAGCTAATAATTATGAGACTATAGTCAAAATGTCTGTTCTTAACATGGTTATTCAAAATAGCACCAACAGTTGAGTTCATCAGTGCAATAAGGAAAGAAAGAAAAGGCATACAGATCATATAGGAAAAAGTAAAATTGTCCTATTAATAGATGACAAGATGGTCTACATAGAAAATCCCAAGTAATCACAGAATCAACAAGAACAAAAAAACTTCTTAGAAAAAGCAATTTATTTAGGTTGTAGGATTCAAGATTAATATTCAATCAATTGTATTTCTATAGACTAGTTATGAACTCATGGAAATAGAAATTTTAAATACAATTTATAATAGCTAAAAAAGAGAATAAAGAATACTTAGATGTAAATCCAACAAAGCACAAACAAGGACTTGTATGCTAAAAGGCATAAATGCTGATAAATACAATTTAAAAACTAAATAAATGAAAGACATACAGTATTTATGGATTATAAGACTCAAGATATTAGTGCCCCTCAAAATTACATATAAGTTAAACATAATTTCAATCAAAATCTCCTTCATCCCAAAAAGAAATCCCATTAAGATTTTCTTTTTTTTTTTGGGTAAATGTAGACAAGATTCATTCTAAAACTTATATGTACAGGCAAAAGAACTAGAATAGCTAAAAACAATTTTGAAAAAGAATAAAGCGAGAAATCAACCTATCCAATTTCAAGACTTATCATAGTGCTACAATAATGAAGACCATGTATGTAATGATGGCACAGAGACAGACATACAGTTCAATGGAACAAAGTATGTTCAAATAATTTTTGACAGGTACAAAAGCAATTCAATGGAAGAAGCATAGTCTTTGAAAAAATAATACTGGAGTAACTGGATATGTATAGGGAAAAAACTAACTTCAACTTGAACCTCTTTTTACAGAAATTAACTCAAAAGATCATACATTTGAGGGAAAACATAGCAAGAAAACAAATAAAACAAAAGAGAAAATCTTTAAGGCCTAGGACTTAGTGAAGAGTTCTTAGATACAACATTAAAAGCATTGCCTACAAAATTTTTTTTAAAAATCAAAAATTGAATTTCATAAAAATTGAAGACATTTTAAAGACCCTGTTAAGAGGATGAAAAGCTACAGACTGGAAGAAAATATTTGCAAACTATGTATCTGACATAGGAGTCATATTTAGAATATATTAACAACTCTCAAAACTCAACAGTAAAAACAAAACAAAACCAATCCAATTAGAAAATGAGTAAAGATATGAAGAGACATCACCAAAAAGGATATATGGATGATAAATAAGCACATGAAAAAGATGTTCGACAACACTAGCCATCAGGGAATGCAAATTAAGACCACGATGAGATATCACTACACACCTATCAGAACAGCTAAAATAAAAAATAATGACAATACCAAATGCTGGCGAAGATTCGGAGACACTGGATCTCTCATACATTGCTGGTGAGAATGTAAAATGGCACGGCCACTCTGGAAAATAGTTTTGGCAGTTTCTTAAAAAACTAAACAAACTTAACCATGACCCAGCAATTGCCCTCCTAGGCATTTATCCCAGAGAAATGAAAAACAAGTCCACACCAAATCCTGTACAAAATCATTAATTAGCAGCTTTATTTGTAATAGCCCCAAACTGGAAACAACCAAAACAACCTACAATAGATGGTTAAATAAACTGTGGTGGTATACCCATACAATGAAATGCTACTTATCAATAAAAAGGAGAATTACTGATATAAGCAACAACTTGGATGGATCTCCAGGGCATTACATTGAGTGGGAAAAAACAATCTCAAAAGATTCCAAACTGTTACATTCTTGAAATGACAAAATTCATGTGATTAAAATAACAAGAAACTACACACACATTATAATAACAGTGTCAATATCCTGGGTTTGATATTGTGTTATACTTATGTAAAATATGACCATTAGGGGAAATTGGGAATTGATCACACTGAACCTTTCTGTACTTACTATCTTTGAAATTTCCTCTGAATATAACTATTTCAAGATCAAAAGTGTAAGGGGGGGGGGAATAAACAAGAGCAGTAAAACTATACCCATAGGAAAAGAAAAAAAATAAATTAGGTTCTGGCCCAAGAATACATGAATATCCTGAAATCCGCATCAAGAAAAGAAACCAAATAGCATTTTTTTCCAAATCTGGCAATCCAAATGTTCAAATAACATCACCAATAACTTCTCTCAATTGCCATCTTAAAATGTGTGTGTGTGAAAATTGAGCCCTCAGTATCTGTAAGAGAATGGTTTCAGGACCCCCCCAAATACCAAGTACTTTATATAAAATGGCACAGTATTTGTATATACCCTACACATATCCTCCCATAGACTCTATTTATCTTTTGGCAAAGGGGATTGAACCCAGGGGTGCTTTACCATTGAGCTACATTCCTATACCCTCCCTTTTTTTTTAAATTTAAGACTCAATCTCACATCTCACTAAGCTGCTGAGGCTGACCTCAAACTTGCCATCCTCCTGCCTTAGCCTCCCAAGTGACTGGGATTACATGGGTATGCCACTACACCCAGCATTCCCATATATTTAAAATCATCTCTAGATTACTTATAACATCTAATGCAATATAAATGCTATGTAAATGACTGTTATATTGCATTGCTTAGAGAATCATGACAAAAAAGTCTGTACATGTGCAGGGTTTTGTTTTTTTTCCAATCAATGGTTGGCTGAATGCAGGATGTGGAACCCATGAATATGGAAGGGTATACCTACATCCATCAACATGTTAGAGCAGGATATGCAGGATGGGGCTATAGCCTATAAACCAACCAACTCCAGCCACCTGTTTTATGAATAAAATGTTATTGAAATAGACACAAACATATCAATAAAAAAAGAAACACTGTTGGTTTTAATTATTGGTTATTTTGCAACATCATCAAATATCAGAAAACACTATCACTTTATAAGCTACATTTCTCTTACTGGAGCACAAATAATTGTATTATTCCTAAAATAAGTTTTCAAATCTACCAAAATATTAGACTTTGAGAGTCTAATATTTTTCCCTTCTAGTATTCATTTTAACCAAATGAATTTGCAAAGTTTCAAACACACACACACACACACACATACACACTCACACACTCGCACTCTCTTTCTTTCTCTCTGAAAGTACAGCTTAACTGCAGTTTCTTTTCATACCTTGGAAAGTATCAAATCGCCTAACCATCGCACACAATCAACATAATTCCTATGTATGTCTCTGGTAGAAAAGTCAGGAAAGTGGATTTTCTGGGAAATAAATGGCCTGAAGGAAAATAGAAATGTAAAAAGTTAAAAGAAAAAAAATATTAGAAATGACACTGGTTTTAATTTTTGAATTTATAAAACTCTTTTTTGTGGTATGGCCAGGGGCCTTTTGCATGCTAGCCAAGTGTTCTACTACTGAGCTACATCTGTAGCCTGACTTATAAAACTTTTAAAAATAAAATGTGACTATCAATCCCTCTGTTTCCAGACAACTTATATTTCAATCTGTTTACTGAAGAGTAAGTCTCCATTTTTCTTTCTCTATTTTCTTCCGTTATCAATTTTCAATCTTATTTTTGTCCAATGATATTTAAAAAATAAAACTGTACTACATATGACCCCAAATTAATCATTCAATTCTGAGTATCCTAACCAATAAAAAAGAAAGAGATCTGATAGCAGGGGTGAAATTTTCCCACAAAAGTACACTAAACTACTTATTCAATCCTTTAAAATTCAGCATTAATGGTCTATGAAAGTTAACATACTTAAGATAGCCATCTTTCTGGAAGCAATGAAACATCATCTCAAAGTCAGCTACAAATAAATTTACAGTCCTGCCTCAAGAAATAATTTCTGAAAAAGCCTTGCTGAAATCTGATAAAGACCTTTCCAAATAATTTCTATATTTCGGAAACTAAAATGTGACTCCATTTCTTCCCTTAAAGACACTTGCAAGAAGACAATGAATAAGATAAGCTGCTACCAATTCTGAAGTTACTGGTTTTAATACTACACCTAATATTTCTAATCTAGTAAATAATTCAGTTTTGTGTGTTATTGTTGTGCTATGTATAGAACCCAGAATTCATATATGCTAGGCAAGTACTTTACCAGTGACTGCTTCCCCAACCCCAAGAGCCGGTTTTTATACTGAAATAATTATAGAATTACACATCATGAATTAATTGTCTTAGTCAATTGACATGTTCTCTTCTTACATTTGCCCTCATATGTAAAAAGAATGTTGGGCTGCATTATCTGGTATAATGCTTCCAATTCAAATTCTGGGAATTTGTTAAAACATTCAAATGTTATTGATGATTTAACATAAATTTTTAACTGTTACACAATTACATTAAATGCCTTTAAGTCAAGTACATATTAAAAGTCTTATGATTAAACTCTTTCAAGGAGAAAACCAACACAACTCAATATTATTTTCTGTAAACTAAGAAATATAATTTGTATTTATTTCAGAAATATACAAAATAATTTCAAAATACAAATTCAACACCATATTAGTCTATGGTCTTTTAAAATAGAATTCTAAAAGTTGTATTTATTCTTAAAGGTCACTAAGGTTTGATAAGTGCACTTAAATGTAGCTTACAAATTTAACTATTATTAATATAGTTTGCAAACCAGAAGATAACCTCCAGCTTTTTGCTTAAACAAAAAGGCAAAATTAGTATATGTAAACATACGTTTAAAATGAAAGTGTTAATGATAGCCTCATGTAATGCTTAAAAAAGTTAGCTGCATTAAGAATTCAGACATTTCCAAAACTGAGACATTTCAAAAACACAAGGAAGTTACAAAATTGCCCACCACACGGTATCATGGAACAAGACTTCTGAATTTAAATTTTCTCTATTTAATGAAGTAAGATTCATTAAAAAAAAATGTTATCATTATTCTTTTTAAATACGTTCTATTATCTTGAATTAGAATTTACTGATATGTCTTTTACTTTAGTCTAGTAAAACTGTTAATATGTGGGCCTGGGGTTGTGGTTCAGTGGAACAGCACTTGCCTAGCATGCATGAGGCACTGGGTTAGATTCTCAGCACCACGTACAAATAAATAACAACGTCTAAAAAATATTTTATATGTTATATGTGTAAATTTAAAAGGTCAAGTATATGCATAGCTAAATAAAAATCAGTAAAATATGCTACTAAATGAAGGCAAAAACAGTTCTAAAGGGATTGTAAAAACTGAGCCATAAGCATTAAAAATAAAAGGTTTCCATTTAAAAGGGGTGAATTTTATGGCAGATAAATTATACCTAAAGCTTATTAAAAGACTTCTAAACTTAGTGTTGGGGGTTTATTAAACAATTCAGGGAAAAAGTAAAACACATCTATTCAACAGCACAATAAAGCATATTAACTGTTACCTGTTAGTTTTATTGGGGTTATAATCATAAGATTCCTTAATTGCATTCATCATTCTCTTTGAATTGATTCTCCAAAGTTTAAGGGAGTGATCCATACCACAGGACATTATTTTTTCACCCAAAAGGTCATAATCCTATATGTAAAACAGAAAAGTTTAAATTAAGTATAAAAATTACCATCACAAATTATATTTGTCCAATTTTCACCTAACACAGTGAAAATTGTATTTCAAATCAAAATACTAACTCCATTTTGTTTTTCATCTATGTAATCCATAAATCACAGTTTACTACTTCCAAGATTTAAAGTTTTATTTGGTTTGTCACCAGAGTAAATGAGTTCTTATAATATGGAAGGCCAGAAAGTAAATTATGTGAATTTTACTTTTATCTATTCCATTATATTAAAGTATTCCCTTTGCTTGATTTTCAAAGTATATATTGAGTGCTGAGGTAAAATTATTATGACACAAAAAGCTGAAAAGTTACATTGCTTTTCTTGTCCAACTCCAATCAAGAAATTCAACTGATATCTGAATTTGAACCTATGAGTCCTTAAACAACTCAGATTTTATTTTATACTAGTAAATCAAAATATTTCAAAGTTACATTGGTGTTAGAATTCACTTTTTAAGTGAATAAAGAGAAAAAAACACGAGAGTTGGAAAAAAGTCACCTTAAACTCAGTGTGAGCACAATAAAATGCTTTCTAAAAAGTAGATAACTTACTTCAAAGAAAAAGGGAAAATATATTTTTTTATTTTCTGCAGTACTCTGGATTGGACCCAGAAGCCCCCTATCACTGAGCCATATACCCAGACCTTTTAATTTTGAGACAGGTTCTAAGTTGCCGAGGATGGCCTTGAACTAGCAATCCCATCTCAGCCTCCTTAGTTGCTGGGATTATAGGTGTGCACTACAGTGCCGAACAAGAAAATGTTTCTTAACTAGTGTAATGTGTTCCTTCAGTAATTAAGAAACACGAAAAAGAAAAAAAGTTACCTTTTTTGGGGTGATTTTAGATTAAAGATAGAAAGGAATAAGTTCATATTATTCTTACATGAGAATCTAGGCACTGGTAAGATACACTACAGGTAATTTTTAAAAACAAACACCAAAAAAACTCTTGCTCTATTCCTTCACCAGTAAGATTAAAATCTTACATTTTCAATAAATAAAATGCCTGCCTGGCAGGCTGTATGAAACAAACATATGCTTTCTATTAAGAACAGAGTTCCATGGGGATTGTTCACAGCTTATAAACCTGAACTTTACTGTCCTGTAGCTTTCAACTTACAGCACTTAGGACTTCATCTCTGTGCCCTTCTACACCTCCAAATATTGCCACCAGCGTGTCCGTTTGGATATTCCATAATCGTAAAGCATGATCTAGTGTAAACATACAAAAAATTAAGATGAACTTTTATCATTCATTTACTCTGAACTTTTTCAGCACCTCCTTAGAGAAGCAAACACTATAAAAGTTTAGACTTAAGTTACACACAGTAAAGAGTAATAATGAAATCCATATTATATAGCAACTTAAAATATTTATAACATTTATAGTATTAACTAGACAATTTTTTAAATTATGTAATTTAAAAAATATTTTTAAAATATTTTAAGCTTATTTATGTCAAATAAGATTCTTTAAATAATATCCTAATTTGATGGAGAGATACTTTTGAGATTAAAACAGAGATTTAACATAATTTTATACTACACCACAGAATAAGGTACTAGCTCTTCCCTTCACCACACTCATATTAACAAATCAAAAGGGATTTAACAGATTTATAAGATTTCTACAGAAAGCCAAAAATGACTGAAAATAATATGCATTGTAACACGATTGTATAGTATGACAGTTTTCCTTTGAAAATTACGTAACTGTAATTTGAACTTCTTCTTTTTTTTTTTTTGCAGCCCTGAGTACCAAACCCAGGGCCTTGCGTATACTAGGCCAGCCTTCTATCACTGAAATATACCACCCCCTGTCCCGTCCCAACTTATTCTATTAAACAATAAAGAATATATAGCAAGCACCAGTGAAACTCCACATCATGTACAACCACAAGACGGGATTCTAATTAGAGAAGTTACACTCCATGTATGTATAATGTCAAAATGCATTCTACTGTCATGTATATATAAAAAGTTTTAAAAATATATAGCAAAAGAATGCCACGTAGAGCTTGAAATATAACAATACTCATATTGTAAATGAGTATTAACATACTATATGATTACCACCAGGAGGCAATAGTACATTGAGAAATTAACATTGCTATAAAACTGATTTCTTGATTCCAATCATGTACAAGTTTTTGAGTATACAAATGTTTTTCACTAGTACAAGTATGTGCACATGCACGAGCAAACCCACACCCCTACCTACAATTCATAATTTTATGTTTAATATTAAGGACCTGCTAGCTTGTTTTACAAAATGGTTACACTTTACATTCCAACCAGCAATGTTTGATCATGTTATAATTTCTCCACATCTCAATCAATACCTATCTGCCTTTTTTATTATAGCTACCCTAACTATCTGTGAAATGGTTCTCATTGTGCTTTTGATTTCAATTTCCTTAGTGATTAATAATGGTGAACATCTTTTAATCTGTTTATTGGTCATTTGTGTGTATTTTCTGGAGACATGTTTATTTGGAAAATTTGTCCATTTTTAACTGGGTTGTCTATTTATTGTTGAGCTGTAAGAGCTCATATGCTCATGACATATATTTTCTCCCATTCATAGGTTGTCTTTTCACTTTCTTAATGGCATCATTTACAGTAAAATTTCTACTCAGCTTGAAAAGGTTGTATGCTTTTTTAAAAAAAGCTATATAGATGAACACGATGCTATTATTTGTTTACTTATTTTATGAGGTACTGAGGATCCAATCCAGTGCCTCACATGTGCTGTGCAAGCACTCTACCACTGAGCCACAACCTCAGCCCAAGGCTGTATGTTTTTTTAAAAACATTCTTGCTCATACAATAGGGAAAGACCAGGGTTAAAATTGTGATATTTAAACAAGGAGAATTAGTCTACTCAGCTGTACAGGAATATTTGAGCTCAATTACTGTCACCAGGGGACAAAAGTAACTTCTTTTCCTAGCGGTAATTTTTCTTTCTTTCTTTTTTTTTTTAATATAGAGGATTGAACTCAGGGGTGGTTAACCACTGAGACAAATCCCCATCCCTTTTTTATATTTCAAGACAGGGTCTTGTTGAATTGCTTATATATTAATATTGCTGTAAAACAGCTAAATTGCTGAGGCTGGCTTTGAACTCATGATCCTCTTGCCTCACTCAGACTCCCGAGCTGCTGGGATTACAGGCTTACACCACCATGCCTGGCCTAGTCATAGTCATTTTAACTTCAGCCTCAATATTTACAGAAAAAATTGACACAATTTTCATATGGGAGTTTTTTTTGTTTCTGGGGAATCAAACTCACAGCATTACACATGCTAGGCATGCCCTAATGTTAGGTAGTAGCTACCAATGAGAAGTGAAATGCATGGCAAGGTCACAGTGTTCCTTAAATTACTTTAGGTCCTTCTTTAAACTATTTCAAAGTAGATGAGAAAGAAAAGTGTGGTAGTTAATTTGTAGACAATAAACAGAAGAAAAGGAGCTAATGGGAAATATGTCAAAAGAAAAGGATTAATGGGATGGGACTTGACAGGGTCCATTGATGGTGATGTGAAGCTAGGAATTATGGCTATAGGTGTCTTCATCTGTCTGGGAAGAAAGTTTCCTTTAGTAAAACAGGCGCACTAAGGTAACTTCTGACCAGCTAATGACCCCAGTGCCCACATCAACATGGGATTGACTTGTAGATGAAGCCCCCCTAAATAGGATGGCCACCATGACAGTTCCAGAGATGAGCAACTAAGGTCAAAAACTCCACTGCCTTGGGACTGGGGATGTAGCTCAGTTGGTAGAGTGCTTGCCTTGCATGCACAAGGCCCTGAGTTAAATCCCCAGCAACACACACACACACACACACAAAAATGTAAACAAAAACAAAAAAACCCCTCCACTACCTGAAAGAAGTTGAACACCTGATTGGCAAAGAGTACAGAATGGTCTCTAATTCTGGTTAACATCAAACACTAATAAATTTGTAGACAGCATTGTCTCCTTTTATCATTCTCTGCTCAGATGCCCTAGTGTCTCATTGTAAGAGTGCTCTCTGCTTTAAGTTTCACTTTGCTTATTTACTTTAATTTCACTTACTTTCTCTTTAAAGTCCTCTTGAATAGCTTTTGGTGTCTGATTTTAAATTTTGTTATGTCAGAACACAAGAACTGAGATTTGGAGTTTCAACTCCTTGCTTTCCTATAACACTACCACTGAGCTACATTCCCAGCCCAAGTTTTAATTTGAGGACTGATATGCCTAAGAAAAAACTTGACTAGAATAAGTAGAAGCATAAGAGAAGGCAATGAAAAATAGAAACAACACAACCTAATTCATTTTGGAAAGCTCAGAAATGATTTAGAATGATTAAGTGGCCTGTTTAGACCCAGAATAAACTTATAATGTCAGCACAAGCATAAGAGCAATACAAAGCTTTATCTTCATAGAAAATATTCTTAAAAGTTTATGCTGGAGAAATAAGAATTTTATGGAATTCTACAAAGAATCCTTTATACAACAATCTTCGAAAATTAAAACAGTGATTGTCATATGCTGTTTTGATTACATGATTAGACAGAGTGATGGTAACTGGTAAAAATGTTTTTAAAACTATCTTTAAAAACTTTTTAAAATGCTATAACTTTGAGCCTGTGTCACTTAAAACCCGACAAAACTATAATTATTCATATGAGGACAAAGTTCTAGAACTACAACAATACCATATGCTAAATGAGAAGGGTAACATATACTTCATTGTCAGTACCAATTATTTTACTAAAGTCTGATGTCAATGCCATAAGTACATTTCACTGTTCCTTTCTTTAATTCTTGGTTTGTGAAATACTAATGTAGCCTAAGATTTTATAAAAATTCACTGTTACAGAATGACCCCGCAGATAGCATAGGTTTTAAATGGGCCATTAAACCTGCTGGTGACCCTGTCCACCTTGGCCACATTCATCTGATGGACACGTGGTCCTGGCACCAATGATGCAGCTACTGGTGAAGCATTTCTGTGGCATGTACAGGTCCACGAACTCACCAGCATCATCCTGCATGTTGAAGCGCACTAGCTGCCTCCACCACAAGTGCAAGCGCAGAAAGGAAGTGACCTACTCTTTAAAATTGTTATTTCCGAAGAAATAAGACTAAAGAAACATTTGCTTCTCTTACCTTTACTTACTGACAGGAGAAGATTTGGATCTCTTGGGTGGAATTTCAGCTCATTGATGGCATTTCCATGACCAACATAGTGCTACAATAAATTTAAAATATTTCAAATTTCATATCTCGAAAATCAGTAATTTTTTTTATAAGTCTTAAGAAAATGGAAAAATAGTTTTACTCATTAAAGTAGTGGTTTTCAACCTTAGCTACAAATTAAAATTGTCCTGCAGACTGAAGGGGGAAAAAGATGCTCAAGTCTCACTTGAAGATGTTCTGATAGGACTGGATAGCAAAGACTCATTTAAAAGATCCTTAGGTAATTTAATGTGCCCCCAGGGTTAAAAACAGTTAATTAAACCAGTCTCCATATCATCTTCCTAGGCTTTACCATTCAGTTAATCACAAGGTGTCCTTCAATCTACAACTCCCAGTTTGGGTGTCTTGCAAAACCTGGTATTTGTCCATCAAAAGCCTCTCAAAAGAAAGGCAAGAAGGAAAATTATTTTAAAAGAAAAGCATTACAAGCCTGGTGGTGGCATACCCCTGTAATCACAGTGATTTGGGAGGCAGGAGGATAGCAAGTTCAGATGCCAGACTCAGCAACTTTGTTAGGCCCTAAGCAATTTGACAAGACCCTGTCTCAAAATAAAGCATAAAAAGCAATGGGATGTAGCTCAGGGTTGTCACCCCTAGGTTTAATCTCTGCCAAAGAAGAAAAGAAAGAAAGCATTACAAATATTAACATTTTCCCACTTATTCCTCAATTTAATTACACAACTTTCACAAAGGACTCAAAAAGATTTGTCTAAAGAAAACAATAAAAATGCACAAATTGTAAATTTTGTAGTCACTGATTAGATTAATTTTACATTGAAAACAGTATGTTTTCACCAATTTACATTCAAAATATGCAATTTAGCCATAAAACCCACCTTTATACATTGCATTGTTATAGGATTAATTATCCTTATTATGCCTCTTGATCCAGCTACTGCCAGCAGAGGATGGCTTGTATTACTATCATAGGTCCATGCACAAGTGTAAAAGTTTTCATCAGCCTAAGAAATGCCACAGTTAAGAAATATATTTTTGAAATAAATGTTAATAATTGTAATATGTAGAATCCTCTCAAAACACTGCTGTATTTTTTTTTTTTGCGGGGGGTGGGGTGTACCAGGGATTGAACTCAGGGGCACTCAACCACTGAGCCAATCCCCAGCCCTATTTAGTATTTTATTTAGAGAGACAGGGTCTCATTGAGTTGCTTAGCGCCTCACCATCGCTGAGGCTATCTTTGAACTCGTGATCCTCCTGCCTCAGCCTCCTGAGCTGCTGGGATTATAGGCATGCGCCACTGAGCCCGGCAAAACCGGTATAGTTTTTGACATATAAGTTCTGATTTTTTATTATACAACCAAATTTATAAAATGGTAATTTTAGGTCTAAAATCCATGCCAAATGAGTAAACAAAACTAGTCCCTTCACTCAACTGTATTTATTATTTATCTGTTTGTATAATTCTGTTCTTATAGTGTCACTGTAGTGCCAAAACAGCTACAGACAAAATGTTAACAAGTGGGCATGGTTGTGTACCAATAAAATTTTATTTACAAAACTAGGCCAAGATGTAGGCTCTACTTTGCTGACCCTCTATCTTGATAGTTCTGTCCATCTCCAAATAAAAATAAATATTCCACTTTCCACTTTTTCTGTGTGAGATCTTCCCCAACTAGCAATACTTCTTTCCATTATCACCTAGAGAAGACTGTCTTTATCTTGTTTGCATGGTTTTTCAAATGGATCTGGAAGAAGCTTTTACTGCTCCACCTAATCCTCTGCCTTTTAAATTTTTCCTTTTATTCGATAACTCGTGTTTTGTAATATTTTATTTCCTAAGCAGAGCATGTTAATTTTTTCCATCTAAGTTTTTGTTGATCCAATACTTGGAATGACTGACAGTTACAGCTTCTGATCAACTCAAGTTCATTATTAAAACTATGCTGAAATTTAAAAATTCTAGGCAAAGTCAAAGAAACAAGAAGTTTTAGCTAGTCCTAGTCTCAGCTAATATTTTCTATTACCAGATTTTTAACATTCCTTTCTCCAGTTTGATTCTGAGGATCAGGAAAATCAGATACCAAGATTCTATTGGGTGACAATGACAGTGAAGGAATAACACTGGCTAAAGAAAGGACAGTAACTTGGGGCTGGGACTGGGGCTCAGCAGTAGCACACTTGTCAGGCATGTGTGAGGCACTGGGTTCGATTCTCAGCACTGCATATAAACAAATTTTTTTTAAAAAGGCCTATCAACAACTAAAAAAATAAATTTAATTAAAAAAACAAAGGACAGTAATTTAAGGGAATTAATTTAGAAAAGTTTTGGTTTATTTATTGAAAATAAATGTCTTTGACCAAAGATACTAAAACCCAGGAAAGGATACATCAGCATCCACATAAGACTGCAATAACCGGATTTCACCTTGTGAATGACATTCATATAATGTAACCTAATGAAAACAAAAATAAAGTAAATTTCATCTCAAATACAGAAACACACTCTTTAGCTTCTAAACATTCTAATCACAATATTATCTTAAAGACTCTACAGAAACTATTGCCCTAAAAATAGCTCCTTTAAACTTATAAATTTATGAAAATCATTATAAAGCCTAATACGTTTTACATAATATCCAGAGTATATTAAATATTCTAGTAATGTTTCTATTTATTAATTTATAAATTATATTTATAATTTTATAATAGTTTACAAATATTTTATTTCACATCATTTAAATGTATTCTTCATCCTTATAATTGCACCAACCTCTCAAAGTGAATAATGTTGAACACCCAAAGTAATTGTGGTTTATCATCCTTTATTTAAATCCATAACAAAAGTCTTTGGCACCATAAAGAAATAACAAATATTCAGAAACAGATACATTTACCATGATTAAAGAGTATACAATGTATCCATGTACCAACACATCAGCTGATACCCAATAAATATGTATAATTTTTGTGCTTTTTTGTATCAGTTAAAAAAAATTTTAAAAAGACTTTATGTAGTTATAGGCCATTATTAACATAAAAAAGTCTACAATTTGCTAACAATGAATTGCTTTTCCTTGTATGGTAGCCCTTTTCATTTGATTCATATTCCAAAATTTAAAATATAGCAACATATACAACTTTAAATTTGTTTCATTTTTCTTATACCTTAGTCACATTAGCAAAAATCTATTATTAAAATTTAATAGCATATACTATGAAGATCCTATACATCACTTATCACTATTAAATTCATAAAATAATCTCCCCTAGATCATAATCTAAAAACTAATCTTCATGTGGTTGTTAATTATATCTTAAAAGATAATTGTTTTCCCTTTCTTCTTTTAAAGAAATCCCAATGGCAGGACTTTTTAGAATTCAATAAACTATATGTAATACACTTCAATGTCATTTTAAATGATTCTTTTACTTAGAAAGCTTAGAACACTGCAATTAGCATACTTGAGCAGAAATTATACCAATTCTACTACTATCATGGCCAAGTTGAAGAATTATAATGGTAGGTTTATGGGGATATCTTAAAAATGGATTCAAATTTAATTAATGGGCTTCATGCCAGTTAGAAAATCTTTCTTGAAACTACACTTTTCCACAAAGAATATGAGAACTAAACAACTACAGAAAGACTACATATCACACAACCTATGTTTGGCTGAACACTAAGAAAAGCTGTTATCCCATGTTATCAACTTCACTAGTAACTTTCAAGTACTTTAAAAAAATTTTTTAGATGTAGGTGGACACAATACCTTTATTTTATTTATTTTTATGTGGTGCTGAGAATCGAACCCAGGGCCTTGCACATGCAAGGCGAGTGCTCTTACCACTGAGCCACAAGCCCAGCCTAAGCACCAGAGTCTTAATGTAATTAAAACTTTCTCAAGTCAAAATTTATTTTTTAGAAAAAAAGAACTGGAAGGATGCAGCCCAGAATGGCTGATATTTGAATACTGAACGGACAATTTCCCTGTTATCAAGTTAACTTACTAAAACAAAAAAATATTAATAAAAGGAATCAAAAATATAGAAAACAAGTAGTGCACAGTAAAAATTACAACTCTCAATGAATTTTAACACAATTACTAAAGACACATAAGATGTCATTTTACTCAATCAAATGACTAATGAACATCTCAGATTCATTTCTTTCCTTTTTGAGCTAAGGGTAGATAGAGTAAGTGACTTGTCAACAGTCCATATCCAATTAGTCTATTTTCTTCCTATTTCTTTTTCTGAACACATCAATCTATTTCTATGCTATTCATCTTAATTCCCACCACAGTATTAATGGATAACCAAAATGTTAGCTACTTATAGACTTAAAGAGGAAAATTTTTCCTTGAGATGATTTCAATTTTTAAAAGAAAACCTGTGAGGACTCCCTGGAAATTCTAACTAGGGAATTCCTAGTTAGAAATGAATAGAATGAGTACATCTTTGCAACCCAGCTATTTAATTTAGCCCCTTATTTAATTAAAACCTTAGAGGATGCGGCTGTAGCTCAGTGGCAAAGCACATGCTTGGCATATGTGAGGCACTGGGTTTGATCCTTAGCACCACATAAAATAAAGGCATTCTGCCCATCTACAACTATTTAAAAAAAAAAAAAAAGTTGTTGATGCCATGGTGTGTGCCTATAATCCCAGCAGCTTGGGAGGCTGAGGCAGGAGGATTGCAAGTTCAAAGCCAGCCTCAGCAAAAGTGAGGCACTAAGCAACTCAGTGAGATTCTGTCTCTAAATAAAATACAAAATGGGGCTGGGGATGTGGCTCAGTGGTCAAACGCCCCTGAGTTCAATCCACAGTACTTAAAAAACAAAAAAAAAAGTTAAGTGATGGTTTATGTTAATATGTGCCAGCATTGCTCTTCTCACCCATTTCTCTCAATTTAAGATAACTCTGGCTTTCTTAAAAGCAAACTCAATGGTAAAGTACTGCCTAGCATGCTCAACGCTCTGAGCTGGATCCCTAGCACCACAAAATAAATTAGTAAGAAAATAAGTAGCAAACTCAGATATTTATTGCAAATAATTAAAACACTTGCAAAACTGTTATTTAAATCCACTGGCTTTATGCTTTCATTTATAGAGCCATTAATTACTTTATTTTTTTAAAAAATCACAAATTTCTCATCCAATTCAATACATAAATAACAAAATAAATTTAAAAAAAGAGAAAAGTAGTCAAATGTGGTAGCATAGGTCTATAAATTCCACATACACCACAGGCTGAGGCAGGAGGACCAAAAGCCTGAGGCCTGCCTAGGCAACTCAGCAAGACACTGTCTCAAAATTTTAAAACAGAGCTGAAGACATAGTGCAGCAATAGAGTACTTGCCTAGCATGCATGAGGCCCTGGTTTCAATCCCCAGCACCACATCACACACACATACAAATACCCACACCACACATACAAATGCACATGCACACATGGACACACACACACACACACACACACACACACACAGAGCAAGAGAGAAGTTAGTTCTTTCAATCACCCAAAATACTTATGAAGAAATATAAAACCTGTTTGATGACCTACTTTAGTAATAAATGTATTTTCCAATAATAAATATTAGTTTTAAATTGACAATTTCTAGAAAGTTTTACTGTTAGATAAAAGAATCATATTGTTAAATCATTGTTAAACACAAAATTTAGTTCAAAATCATTCATTCTATAATAACAAATCCAATAATCTAGCAGAGGGCCAAAAAGACCCCATAACACTCACTCTGTTGCTTCCTACAGTTGCAAAGACTAATGGATCTCCTTCTTTACTGTGCCAGTTAAATTGAACTCCAAACAATGGTTGGTTATGATCTTCCTATAAAATAATCATGAAATAAAAATTCAACAGTGTCTCTTAGAAATAAAAAGATAGTGAACTAACCTTTACCCTTTCTCTAAAATATAATTTGTTATTTTTGTGAATCATACATAAGCTGACTTTTGACTATAAAATTAAAAAATCTTGACTAGACCAGTTTTCACATCTTTATATACTGTATATGATAAAGTTTTATAACAATCAAAGACTTTGATCACTGCCTCAGTAACATTTATTTAGGTTACAATTATTTGTCTATAAAAAAACTTTGATATGTACCTTTCATTTTCTTTAACTCAAATCGTTTTTTCCAGAATCACAATACATTGGATAAATTTTGATAGACATATTTAACATATTGGGTCAAGAGGATAAATTTATTTTTCCAAAAGAGGAAACCAACAAATGGCTTTATAGAGGTAATATAACTTTTTGGCAATCACTAAATTTTACTAGGCTTAAATTTTCCTTTGTAAAGTGAAATATTATCAAAACTCTATTTAAATTACTGCTTTCTATTAACTCTATATAAACAATTTTAAATAATCTTGAATTTGGGTCTTTAAAGAAAAACATTCCAGGAATTTTATAATGAAAAAGAATACCTGAACAGTGAGGGCCGTGGGAATAAATGGACTATACCTTCAGAGACATACAAACAGATAGATCATAAGATTACTCACTTTTGTTTACATGGTTATTTTTCAGTTTTAGGACTTCATTGGCAATCTCCTGGCATTTAACATTAAATTTCAAGTTTACTGGAAGGTACTGTTTTCACTTTAAAATTTAACAACTTTTATTTTCTTATCATTTGAAAAGCCATAGCTTTAGGCTTTTGAATTATTTAAAGGCAGTTAAAAACATCTTCCAGATATAGTTAACTAACTCTTAAGCTAATATAATATCATCGTAATATTTTAATAAACACTTTTTTGAGAGGCTGAGATTAATTTCTCTTTTACACACTAAGCACTTAATTTTTGCTAGACAGGAAAACATCATGTAGCCATAGCATCTTAAGCTCTCCTAAGCCTTTACCTAAAAGTATAATTAGTTATCTACATTTAAACACATATATATGAAGTAACATAATGTTTATTTTCCTTCAGGAAAAATAACCCCAAACTTAAAAAATAAAAAACACAAAGTGGAAATACATCAGAAAACATTTAAAATAAACATCAGTAATCCTTTTTATAAAGTAAATGTTACTGAGGCAGTAATTTAAATAACCCTAATCTCTTATTTTCCCCAAATATTGACTACTGAAGTTTTTAAAATTGCACACCTTTTCCTTTTAAGACAAATATAAATAAAGCAAAGGACAAAAAGATTTTTTTTAAAAACTGTACAAAGTAAGACATCTGTTTCAATTTATACTTCTTAGTTAATGGGTAACATTCAGCTCTTTTTAATAACTGGTGCCAGAAGTAGCTCATGATTTTTAAGGTTCACCAGAACATAAAGAGTTACATTTCCTAAAATATTTTATTTGAATTAACAAACAATAAAGCAAAACCACCTGCAATACTCAGTATTACACATTTAAATTAAAATAAAAAACAAAGCCAAAAAGCTGAATGTGGGAGATTGTATTATGGTATTTGAACCTCAAATTTAAAAAAAAAAAAAAAAAAAAAACACCTTAAAAACCCTCTAACATTAAAATATTTTTTAAACTTAAAGGAGTATCTTGTATGTCATTGAGAAATAATTCTAAAGCCTAACATTCAGCCCAAAAAACCTGTCTTTCTGAACATACCTTGAGGCTGTTTACACATTTGAAAGAATATTTGCATTTCTTCGACTTCCATTTTCCCTTTCCCCAACTTTTCCTTCCAGGTGCATTTGGTGTATTTGTAGGTGTATCAGGGCGTTCAGTGTTTGTACCACTTTCTATACTGACAGCATCATCCTATAAGCAGTAAATTAAGAAAAATTACATGAGACAGTGATATTTTCAGGCAAGTGACTTTATACTGGAAAGATCTAATGGACCTAAAGTCTGCAAAAAAAAAAAAAAAAGAAAGAATGAAAGAAAAAATGTACTTCTGTCTTCAAATAAGGATACAAAACACCAGAATTTTTGTAGGTATTTTTATATTTCAGCAAAAATGAAAACAAAATACTAATCAGATTGATAATGGAAAAGTAATATTGCCTTTACATAATAAGGTACTCTCCTACGCCAGCTACTTTAATGCATGGGATCATTTCATCTTTAGGGCACTTGTTAGATAAGGAGGTGTTGAGAAAGCCTAACTGTTCTCATTAATTAGAGTTGCTGGGATTCCACCCTAAAACTGTGACTACTAAATCTGACTGATCTACATGTCTTTATAATTTCCTTGCTTGTTACTCAATTTGGAGCATAGAGGTAGGTGGCCATTTGAGGCCAAAGTGTTAATGCTTCCACTTTGATGTAGTTTTTACAAGTCCTGATATTCATATGCTGTATATTGACAACAAACTATTCAGAATTTAAAGTCTCAATGGCTTCAAATGGCTATTTGTAAATAAAATGTGCCTCATAGTCCTAACATAATCAGAACTCTGAAGACAATAGTTAAAAGTAAAATCCTTCCAAATACAGAAATGAATGCAGAAATCTTAAAAATTTTTCTAATTTATTTCTTATCTCTGGTACAGAAGACATACTAAAGGCCCTTTAATCTCAAGAGAATTTCACTACCTTCTTGGATTCCAATGTCTCTTTAGGAATAAGATGATTTATTTACATCTATGACCCTAAATTCATTCAAGGGAAAGTTTGTTTTGTTTTGATCTTTCTTTCTTCAAGTGCCTACTAACATCTGCTAGAATAGTCTAAAAAACATTGCCTTTAGGGTCTATTTCTAAATTACTGCTTCCTAAAGCTGGTTTATATTACAGAAGGTTAAAATTAACTGAAGTATCAAAAGGCATAGTAAAAAAAAAATCATATTAACTCACTTGAAAACAACAATATATTTCCTGGGGATTTCAAACTTCATATGACTCCAAAATGAAATGCATTTTTAAAAAATACCCTATTCTGGAAAATACTAATTATCTAGCATAAAAAAAAAATAGATGGAGACAGGTGGCACAAAGTGCTCAACAAATATTTGAACTGTAATTTAATGTGAGTGCAATTAAACATTATGGAAATAGAAAATGTAAAATTTTAAAGTTGGGTTCCTAGCTTGAAATGTTTTTTATGTCTCCCTATTCTCCCCACTTGTCAGTTGTATTTACATAGTTAAAATCCAGGATAGATAAATGTATCAATGAAAAACCATGCTTGTAGTTCCAAATTATCAGATTACAGTCTTCCTCACTTTCTTTTAAGTACTTTTGCAATTCTTTTTAAATTATAGATAACTGCTAGACATGCAAATTTTGTCACCACAGAATAAATTCAGTATAATTCCCTTTCTGTTAGTGTAAAAAATATTTTCTCTCCATTTGCAATTCATCCCTTCATTTCTTTATTTTATATAAATTTGTACTGTTTGGACTTTTTTGGTTTTCAAGTTATAACATTTACCTAATTCCTTCAAGTGAGTAAAATAAAAATGTTAACAATGTTCACACACTTTTTTTCTGAAAAATTACCTTTTAACAGAAGAAAATGAAAGAAAACGAACAAACTCTGGAGTTGGGAATGTGGCTTAGTGGTAGAGTGCTTGCCTAGCATGCATGAGGTCCTGGGTTCAACACCCAGCACCACAGAACAAAATAACACAACTTCTTTTTATTTTGGCTAAACACTGAGCCATTAGCCAAGAGGCCATACAAAAACATTGTCACACTGCATATTTTATCTCTTGATCACTTAATTTACCCATCTATCTCCTCCAAAGGCAAGATGGAATCAAACGGAAACAAAATGCTTTCATTTTGTCTTTAAATTAAAATAAAATCTTTGTTTAATATGTACTCAGGCTGACTCCCACCCTACTCCTTTCTCAAAGTGCAGAATGACAATGCCCAACAAGAAAACAGACTCAGGAATAGTAATTTGTCCCTTAATCTTGTCCCATTACTCTAGCCTTCTGGTATCATTAACCACAATAACCATTAATACTCTTTCAGACACTAACTACTTTACAGTCATCTGATCTTAAAAAGCTTGATAAAATGACAGAAATATATACAATAAATCTCAAATATGTTCTTCAATTCTTTTAATAACTTTTTAAAGAGTGTTAGCTGGGGCTGGGGATGTGGCTCAAGCGGTAGCATGCTCGCCTGGCCTGGGTTCGATCCTCAGCACCACATACAAACAAAGATGTGTGTCCGCCGAAAAACTAAAAAATAAATATTAAAATTCTCTCTCTCAAAAAAAAAAAAAAAAAAAGAAAAGAAAAGAAAATTAAGATCAATGTAGCTAATTAAAAGAGTGTTAGCTGCTCAGGTTACCTAACTCCAACTCAAAAACACTTTCTTCCCCCACCTGCTTTTGGTCTTATTATTATTCCCTCCCTATAGAGTAAAACCACTGTCCTTGTTAGTTTTTCTGGAACTTATTTTTATAAAATGTTCTCTACTCTGTGTTGTATGGAATTCAGAAGGTCTGTGAATTCAAGTGGGGAAAAAAATTACATCTTAATTTCCACCACTTTGAAATTTTACACTTCCTCTGTTATAATGGAGGTAATATAGATGCCAATGTTAGCATAGTTATGACTCTGTCACTAATAGAAATTAGATATTTCTTTTTTTAATATTTATTTTTTAGTTGTTTTTTTTAGGTGGACACAATATCTTTATTTTACATTTACATGGTGCTGAGGCTCAAATCCAGTGCCTCACTCATGTAGGCGAGTAAATACTCCACCACTGAGCCACAACCCCAGCCCGGAAATTAGATATTTCTACATCACACTGGTTAAGTGTCCTTTATCCAAAATACATAGGACCAAAAGTGTTTCAGATTTTAGAATATTTGCATATACTTTACCATTTGAACATTCCTAACCCAAAAATGTTAAAAGCTCCAAAATTCTAAACATTTTGAGTGCCAACAACAAATTTCAACTCAAAAAACCCATTCCTCCCCTACCTGCTTTTGACCTTATCATTATTCCCTTCCTCTAGAGTAAAATTACTACCCTAGTTGGTTTTTCTGCATTTCAGATTTTGCATTTTCACATCAGGAATGCCAACCTGTATTACAGTTGCTATGGATCTTGAAAAATAAGCCTGTTACTACCCTCAAATCCAATGCTAGATTCTGTTGTTAAAAGAAATACATATTATTAAATCTGATTCCACACCCCCCAATCCCATGGAACCCAGGGCCTCCCACATGCTAGGCAAGTGCTCTACAATTGAGCTATCCCCCTGGTCCTAAAAAAAACTTTAAAAATATATTATACAATTTTATAATTGATCATGTTTTGTAACCCCATATACTGTATTTCGTACATTTAAAAATGTTATTTTGGGAAGACTCCACAGGCTTCATTGAGGGGTCCAAGCATTAACACCAAAAAAAAAAGTTTAAAATCTCTGTCCCCTATTTGGAGGAAACAAAACAAAAAGCTAATCCAATCATTTGGTTTTGAATTGCTTCAGAAGGTACCAAAGAATATATTCCCCTCAGGGGTCTACAAAAAAGAAAATAAGCTTTCACTTTATTTTGTCCCCTGAATTTTTCCTCACTCTAAGTAGGTTTCACATTTTCATTATATTTTGCCCGATTATTAAGCATATGAAATGGGCAGAAATATAACTCTATATGATCACAAAATAAGTAACGGTAATTATTATAAATAATTAACGAACATTTGTGTACTATTTATTATGGGACATATACTCCTTAACCACTTTACTTATATTACCTCATTTAATCCTCACACTCCGTTTAACCTTCATCTAAATAAATCTGTCTTTACCAATGTTGCCTAAAATCTTCCAGGTCGTTCCCTTTACAAACTGCCAAAGGAGAAACTACCCCAACCCATACCTAACTCAAACGTGGTTCCCCTCCTAGTCAGAAGAAGACCCTCTCAATTATGCCTTTACAGAAAAGGCGACACTCGGGCACACCCCACCTCCACGGACAGGGCAGAGGCAGCCACAAGACCTCCTTTAATAAAGTCATCTAAACCCCTATGTCAAAGATCTATACTTTCCATCCTGGAGTTTCTATTGGTATCTAAGGGTGGCACAGACCCTAAACTCCTTGAAAGGGGTGCCTAACAGACTCAGCCTCTTCCTTTCAACTCTTAGGAAAATCTCTAACATGCCTTTTAAACCTACATGAATCTCAGATCCGGAATCTTCTCTATATCCCCCAAAGACTCAAACACTTCTGCATCACATGTAAAAGGAACTCAAAAGAGACCTCTCAGACCCCTGTAACCATTTAAATCCCTCTCCTTCACCAAGTTTCTGCCCGTTCTCAGCCCCAGCTCAAAATCCCCCCAGACAAGTTCAATTTTCTCCAGCACGCCCGCGTTTTCCCGAGTACAGGGTGACACCTCTCCCTCCCCCCACAGTCGCCCGCCCGCCCCCGCGCCTACAGTTTTAAAAGAACTTAAAACTTCTACTCCGGAGTCGCGTGACTGCTAGGGGCTGCACTCACATTCTCATCTCCAGAGAGATCCGGGTTGCTGTTCTCGTCGCTACTCAGCTTCTGTTTCTTTGCCGAAGGCATGTCGGTTCCCGCCGGCGCTGTCGACACTTCCCTCTCGGACATATTCCTCCGCCTCCCTCCAGGTTCCTGCCGCCTCGGGCGGGGCCTCCGCCACACCGCCGTCAAGCAAGCCCGGCCCGAGCTTGCCGCAAAGTTGCCACTGCCGCCGCCACCTCCACCGCTCCCCCCACTGTCGCAAATCGCGCCCAGCCGCCGAGGCGGGCGTGCGTGCGACCCCGCCACACTGCTGAAAAAGGGGCGCGCGCGCGCGCCCTCCTGCGCGGCTTCCTGGCTTCTTCCCTTTACCCACTCCCGTCTTGCTGTTTTCCCGCCGCCCTCCCGGCAGATTGCACGGAGACGTATGATCCGTTGGTTTAAGAGGGCAGTATTTAGTAGGTCCCCTTTCCCCACCACCGCCTCGAAAAGAAAAGGCGGAACTCAAAGGGATGCTCCCTCACCCCTTTCTTCCTTCCAAAGACGTTTCAGCCGCAATTGGCTCAATCCTTCGATCTCCGACCCGCTGCAAGGGAGCGAAAGTCTGTGGAATGGACTAGACCACCAATGTCCCAGAGAAGGGGAAGGAATACAATAAGTCACCTATTGCTTTACCTGTGTATTCCAAGTGTCCTTAATATTGAACTTGGAAGATAATGTTTTCCCTAAATCATGGAAGCATGGACACCCTACTTTTCGCTTGAGGATAGAAATCGAAAAACTGTACACAGTTTCCGAATCGCCACCCCTATCAAGCAAATGGAAGGCACTCACCAGAAGATGCGCATGCGCCCAGGCGTATTCTCGCGCTGCGTTGTCGGGAGCCACCTCCTCCAAGCCCCTCCTCTTTTCGAATTCTTGTTTGCTGAACCAGGTAGTCTATCGGGTGTTCAAAGTCGGGCTGGATTTCGAAATGCTCTTAGATTCAAGTCTGGATGTACCCTAAATTCTTGACGAATATCTTATTCTGATGAATATTTGTTGCAATGAATTAATGATTATCATCACCTAGTTGGTGCCAATATTGGTTAAGGTTCAAGTAGAGATATCTTTAAATTACCATACTCTAGATTCCAGTGTGTTACAAGCGAAGTGCCCCCTTTAACTTAGAAGATTATCAAGGCCCTGGAAAACGCCAAGACCTGTAAATCATTGCTCGTCGCTAACTGTGTATGCGATTGTGAGACTTGGGCAACGGTCCTTTTTTTTGGTTTTGCACGTCAGATACGATAAAAAATTTTAGAAAAAGGCAACAGAATTGTTTTATGTCGCTGAAATATTTGGCCCTGTTGCATGTATCTGGACTCTTGACCCGTGCCAAATACACCAATGAACCTGTGGATTTCTTGGATGGGTAATTAAACCATATAACTGAATGAGTATCAGGAAGAGGAAAATGATGGCAATAAAATAAAATACAGCATTCCCCTGTTTCAGAACGTAATTGTGATTACTTATCTTTCTGGGTGTCAGTGTCCTCATCTGTAAAATGAGGAAATAGGAAGGGACCTAACATTTCTTGAGCGCCCACTTGATAGTGTATATTTTTTCTCATTTAGATTTCAATGTATCTTCCAGTGGATAACCAGTCTAGAATGCTCCATCCTAATATTCTAGCATACTTAAATTACTTATGCATGCAGATTGCAAGTCACACTTTCTTTTAGATATAAGCAGAGTACTGGTTGAGAATGAGAAAAAAGGAGATAAAGCAATGAAAAAGATTTTTACAATGAAGTCTCAGGAAAATTAAGCGGGAAAAAATTCAAGTTCAGGTCTTAATAATTGCAGTTATTGTTGAGCACTTCTAGTGAGTCAAGCACTGCAAAGATTTCTTCAGTATGTAAGAGAAATGAGACAAATATAGAGCCAGTTACTGAGAAAGTAAGAAGTCTTTGGTGCTATCGCTTTTATGGACAGAAATGCACTCCCATTATTGGGAAGGATATTCGTGAAATATAGCTCTACAGATAAAGGATAATCAACAGAAGCATTTCAGGTACAAATTACTGTGGGAGCTGGGAAGTGGGAATCAACTTCTAGATGAAAAGTGCTGAATATTTGAATAAAGGACACATGGGAAGAAAAGACATTTTCAGCATTTCATGTTACTGTAACAAAGCAAAAATATTTTTAGAGTCTTATTAAGGTTTGGAGGGATTATTTTAAAATTTATTTTCTGATGAATCAGGGTTGATAAATAGAAATTTATCAATGTTTTTTATTAACAATGTTAAAAAAAACTTATTCTGAAAGTTGTTTAAATGGTTAGGAAAATACACTCAGGGCTGTCTTGATAGATGTCAAAATATAATGGAGAAAAGAGATCATGCTCAACTCTAAATACAGCAAAGACAAGTGAAGATGAGATGGGGGAATGTGGTTGAAAATTATGAAAAGGAAGATAGGCATGAGCATTCTAGCTAAGCCAACTTAACAGGATTGTTGCTGAAGGTAGCCACAGTAATGAAACATGAAGGATTGGGAATTCTTTCTGAACTGACTTACCAGAACTCTAGTACAACTGAATTAGACAAGCTGAAGACAAGGTCCAAGGACAAGACCTAGATAAAAAGTGGGTGCAAAGACTCCTAACTAAAGCTAAGGAGAGAGCCTTTGTCACTATTTATTTGTCACTTAATGAATATTTACTGAGTACCCTCTATATGTCAATATCACAGATATTCTATATAAAGTACTACTTTTGTAGTATTAATATGTAGACATCTACCCAGTTTCTCAATACCGAATTCTACCATGAAGGATTTCAGAAACCATCACAGTTGGAGAGATCTTACCTCCTATATTTTACAAATGAGGAAACTAAGGCTTAGGGTAATTAAAAGTTTGAAAATCAAAGATGAAGAGCTCATGTAGCAGAGCTAAAGATTGTATTCATCAAATGAAAAGCCAAAGAAACAACAGCTCTAGACTTATGTAATTATCCTCACAGAGCTTGTTTGGTCTTTAAACCACACAATCTTTTACACACCATCAAAGAACATCAAAAAGTTTTCTCAGCCAGGCACAATAACATAACACCTGTAATCCAAGTAACTTTGGATGCTGAGGCAGAAGGATTGCAAGTTCAAGACTAGCCTCAGCAATTTGGCAAGGCTATAAGCAACTTAGTGGGACCCTGTCTCAAAACAGAAAAATGGCTGCGGACTTAGCTCATTGGTCAAAGCACCCCTAGGTTCAATCCCCCCCCCCAAAAAAAAATAGCTATCTCACTTAGGACAGAGGACATAGCTAGACAAACCTGGGAAAATACAAACAAGTCTGGAACATAGTTAATAGTAACATGTATTTTAGTTTCTTAATTTTGACTTGCACACTATGATACTATGTTAACAATGACAGAAACTAGATGAGGAGAGTCCAGGAACTACCATGTTTGCCACTGTTCTGTAAAACTATTCCAAAAAAAATTTTTTTAAAAACTTAAAATAATGCTATCTCAAGTGGCCTATTGAGAACTCAGTAAGAAATACTCTCTGGGTCCACACAATGTCACATGCTTGTAATTCCAGACACTCAGAAGACTGGAAAAGGCAGAAGAATTGATAATTCAAGGCCAGCTTCAGCAAACTTAACAAGACCCTCAGCAACTCAGGGAGATCCTGTTCCAAAATAAAATTAAAAGGACTGGGGATGTAGCTCAGTGGTAAAGCATCCCTACATTCAATTCCCAGTTACCCCTCTTCCCCCCAAAAGAAAGAAATACCCTTTGGCTTCAGATAAATGATTGGTTGATCTTGAAAAACTTTCCAAGATCATTTGGTTATATAAAAAGAAAATTCACATTCTTCTTTGGCATTGTCTTCTGTTATAAGTTTCATATCAGGAAATGAGTTTCAAAAGCTAAATTAAATCCTTCCCATTTCCATTGAAGTTTATTTTTCATTCATACAGTATTTTTGTCTCTTCTGCTTCATAAATAGCAGCTGTTCATCATCATTCATGCAATCTCATATGCTTGCAGATCTAGTATTCTATGAACAGAACATCATATGGCTTCTTTAAACATTTAGAAATGAATGAGGAAAAAAAGGAATGAATGAGGAAAAATTTATTGAATGCCATTTATGTGCAAAGCAGTATATAATTTCAAGTATGGAGGTTCAATAAAAGGGAAAATAGGACACAGGACCTGCCTTTGAAAAGCCTGATATTCTTCCATTATTAAAAAAAAAGTTTCTCATGCACTTAATAAATATTTACTGAGTACCCTCTATATGTCAAGTACTGTTCCAGATGCTGAGGAGACTTGATAATAAGGAAATAAAATAGATTCCTGCTGTCAGAGTTTATTGTCTAGAAAGAGAAACAAACTTAACCAGACAATCACCAAATGGATGTAAAATTACAACTGTAGTAAGTGGTATAAAGAGAAGTAGAAAGTCAGGGCTGTTGTTTGCCCATATGGTGTCTTATTTAAAAAAGGCATTACCATAGGCAAAAAGAGCCCAGAGAAGGTAAACCTTGGCAAGCAGACTGTGCCTTTGGTGAATCAGAAAAAGATGCTCCTTTATACAGTTTGATACAGCCTTGTTCATGAACAGGTCTTTGTGAGTGGAGCACAAACTGGATTTCACCCCCATTCATCACCTCAGGTGAGAACCTAGGATTATATAAATAACCTGCATAAGTGTAAGTAGCAGACCTATAAAAGGTTCTAGATTCATATAGTAAAGGAAGGCTTCAGAGTTTCCCTGAGGAACAGAAAGAAGAGTGGAACTTCAAGAAGAATGAGTTAACCAGGTGAAAGAGAAGAAGGACAACATTCTAAGGAGTGATAACAGCATCTACAAAAGGCCCTGGGGGCAGGAATGAAAGGAACAAAGGTCATTGGTAAGCTTAAACAGTCAGTGCTGGTGAAGGACTGGACAAATGATGAGAATATGATAATATATAAAGCTAGAAAAGTAAGTAAGAAATCAGACCATGCAGGACATTGTAGACCATATTAAGATTGTTGTGTTAAAATGTATATCCAGCTGATAGGACATATACAGAAGGAATTATAATGGCATTACTTTATTTTAATTTTGTTGATATTTCATTTATATATAGTGAAATGCACAGGTCTTAAACATACAGTTTGATGAATATACATCCATGTAATCCATATCAATAAGATGTGGATGGAATTTCTAGCACTTCAGAAATTCTCCTATTGCCTCTTCCCAGGCACACCTTTCTTCTCCCCAAGCAATCCACTGTCTATATTTCCTATATTTGTATATTAATTTTGTTTTATATGAGCTTTTCCTATTCTCAAGTCTCACATAAGTGGAATAATTCAGTATGAGCTCTTTTGTGTCTGATTTGTTTGGTTACACATAATGTTTTTGATATTTATAAAATGACATTAACATATAAAGAAAAATACTGTCTAGGTCACAACTTTCACATTTCAACAAGCATAAGAATCATCTGGACAGCTTGTTAAATGACAATTGTCTGGACCCCATTTCCAGAGATTCTGATGTACTAGGTTGGAGTATAGTTTTTTAGTGTATATCTCTAACAAACTGAGTATTCAAGTATTCAAGAAGCATACTTTGAGAACCTCTGATCTAGACAACAAAAATAGTTCCTAAGAACCTATTTCTTTAAAAAAATTATTTTAAAGGAACTTCTATGTGCCAGGAACTGTCTAGGTTGATGAGATTTAAAAATAACTAAAATGTCATGCCTGTCCTCTAGTAACTTGGAGTCTGGTAAGAGAAGACAAGGGTAAACCAAATAAGTAATTCTAGATCGCTTAGTCTATTCATTAAATAGTGGACACAATATTAAAACCATTAAGAATAAAAACTGTATAATGAATCCCATCCTAGATGGGATTCCTCACTTGGCAGCAGGATTCCTCATT